TGTGCATGCCTTCTGCCTGGAACTTATCTATATATTTTATTATCTACTTTATTCTCCTAGAATATTTAGTTACTACGTTCATCACAATCGGCCACCGACGAAATTAATTAAATAATTTAATTTATTAATTTATTTATTTACTTACTTGCTTACTTAATTACTTAATTAATTACTTGCTTACATACGTACGTACGTACTTATTTATTTATATATTTATTTATTTAATAAATATTTTTACAGAATGGCCTAATCAGGTGGATGTAACAACCTGTTTACATAATGGTCCTGTTTTACGATAAAAGATTACAATACATAAAATATCAAAAAGTTGCATATTAGTGAAATTTAAGAGACTTCATACGAATAAAATGTTAATCTAAATCACAGAATACTGTACATTGTATTTTTGTTAGAATACATCGAAAAAGTTTAAATCACAAGGTATGGTAATAAAATAATGATAAAAGCCTTAGTTAATTATTAAAATAGTAAAGTACAGTAAAGAGATAATTAAAATTGCGTCCATGCGAGAAAATCCCGATCCGGATACCAACAATATGATGATCGAATCACTGGCCAATAAGAAACTGGAAATTGCAAACGCGTACTTGTGATTGATTGATGATAGAAACGCCCTCAACTTGCTAACCGATAGCGCTTGCTAACCGTTAGCGTATCCGGATACCGCTAACGGTTAGCGCTGACCGATCGGGCGTTCTCACGCAGGTGCTAACTATTAGCGCTAACGGTTAGCTCCCGATCCGGCTACTAGGGCTCTCGTGAGAACCAGGCTTCAATCTACCATCCACAATCATTAGACGGCGTCGCGTCGTCAACCATGCCCATAAAGAGTGGAGATGTATTCATGACGGTCGTACGACGCAATGTGTACCGTATTTTAAACCCAACAAAATATACTGTTAAGCAGATTTCATTGCAGTCAGTAGAGGGACTGCCACACCGGTCGTCTTGTAAAATTATTGATAATTTTATTGAAGGAGCTTAGGTAGAGCCCAAACTAGTCCCACGACCACTAATTACAGAGCCAAACCAAGGCAATATATATACACAGCCCAGGTGTGAATGCAAATAGTGGAATACAAGCTATGTGGCTCGGTTCCAGTAGATACAGAGAATATTTTGTCATTCTTAACGCGTCCTACGAAATTCTTACGAGACAGCACTAGTCCGTGAATTTGTTTGTTTGAATTTTTGTGTGCAAAACTAATTAAAGATACCCATACAAGATATTAAAATAAAAAATTATCCTGTTGTTTATGATACAGTAATCAAGTAGGTCTATTGCAGAAACCAATCTGTAATTTTGAATTTTTTAAGTTGTTTTTTTTTAATTATCTGGTTAATATTTTGTAAAATCGCAAACACGCATCAACCCTTTCAATTTTAAAGGTGGACGTCTTCGTAGACAAAAAAATTCGAAATAGTAAACATTATCCGGTTGTTTTATCGTGAACTACAGTCAGACATCAAGAAATTATGATTAATACCGGACACGATTAAATTATATCTATATATTCAATCAGCGCCAATTCTTGACAATGAAGAAAATTAGAGATTCCGAATTTATGCGATATGTACAGGATATTCGGGACGTCTTTAGCGCATAAAAGATGTAAAGTGCATTTTAAAAGACTACTTATTCAAAACATGCAATGTAGTCGTAAATCATGTGAGGATTGTCATATAAAAGAACACGAAATAATGCTTCTATTCATTAGCCAACAATGATATACAGAAATTACAAGAATGAGCCGAAGGTGGGGTATTGCGACCCCTAATGCGTAAGTATTAGTTGAAGAATAAGTCAGAAGTCGGGAGATTCATAGCCGCGGGTGGTTTATGCGCTCAGAGTATCGCTCAGACGCGCAACAAAGGGAGTATTTTAAGCGAGAGCGGAAAATAAAATCTGTACGGCGTTCAACACCGAATAAATTGATTTACTCGGGTGCATCCACAAGGCGATCGAGCAACCCTGTTTTATTAGGTTGCAACAAAAATGATCGATTAAGAGAACAACCAAGACAATGGATTCAAACTGTTTAGAATAACAATGATATAAATTAAGCCAAGAACGTGGAGACCACTTGTTTACATTGACGAGCGCACTGTGATGGGCTGAGCGATGACGTTCGATCACAACCCGACTATTAAATTCGCCATAGAATGCATTTATATTTATTATAAGATTCATTTTGCCAAAGGCAGATATACGAGCCACAGTACTTTCTCGTGATTGTATATTCCATAATTATAACATTTCTACTCTCTTTTGATTCTCCGTAGGCCTCTCATTAATCTATTCATTTTTTTTTCTTTTACTTTTTTGAACTTTGATTTGATTTCATGTTTCAATCATTTTGTTGCATTTGGTTATCCTCGATGTTATCATTCTTTCTTGTTAGTTGTTCTGTCTAATAATGTTCTTATTTCTCTTAAATACAACATATCAAATAATATATTTATATCATAATATGAGTAATTTAAATATAGACATTGATATTCAATTGTATGTTAACTTTCTCAGATTTTATTTTCTTTTGTTGTTGGAAGTACGAGAAAAAAAAAATTGACATGAATGCACAACTGTTTTTTTTTTTTTTCAAAGATGTCTAAACGGTTAATAGGATAGGTCGACAGATTGTTGAATATTTAAAAACATGAGTGAAGGGGATAGCGACCCGTTTTCATCATCAGCATCATCATCATCATCATCATCATTGTCATCATAATCATCATCCTTATCCTATTTAGTCTCATTATCCTTATCGTTATCAATATCATCATCATCATCATCATTATCATCATCTTTATTATTACTATTATTATTATTATTATTATTATTATTATTATTATTATTATATTTGTAGTACTGGTATTGTTATTTATTTATAACAGGCCTGATGTTATAATCATCATCGTCATCATCATCATCATCATCATCATCATCATCATCATCATCATCATCATCATTATCATCATCTTTATTATTATTACTATTATTATTATTATTATTATTATTATTATTATTATTATTATTATATTTGTAGTACTGGTATTGTTATTTATTTATAACAGGCCTGATGTTATAACCATCATCATTATCAATATCGTCCTCATAATCAAGCAAGTAGAGCTTTATAATTAAGTATTGTGAATTTTATTTGAAAACCGAAATGGGCATTCTTTGATTGTGTGTTGACAGTTCTATCAATAATAACTTTAAATTTAATCAGTTAAAAATAGTAGGGTCTACATGTTACAAGATACAACAAGCTTAATGGTATTGTCAACATAAATTAATAATGTTACATACACACAGTATTGTTTTTTTGGTTTTTTTTTTCATTGCCCGAAATATGCTAGACTAATTTTTTTGATGTAATCAAAAGGTACTTCAGGATGCCATTTATATCATTGCCGATTTTATTAGATAGTATTGAAGTCTATTGATTTAAAATCAGAGTCAAATTAAACGAGCAGTTGGACAAAAGAAACGTGTGTAATGCCAAAACTTAGCTACGATACGCGCCATATTTAAGACACGCAAAATATCGCGTAGACGCCAAGACCCACGACGTCGGCGAAGAAATAAAGTGAACAAAGGGATATTATACAAGTAGTGTTATTTCCACCAATAAACAATCTGAACAGCGTTGTACATTCGATATACCGAAGTAATTTAAGGTTAACCGAATTTATTACATTTTAACATCAGATCCACGGCGTATTTTTATCTTACAATAGACATTCTTTATTAATACAATTGCTAGTTATAGGCGTTTAGTATCGCATTTCCTACTCATGTTACCTAGATACGAGGTAGTGCTTATTAGAAACGGATACATTCTATTGACAACCATTGATGTAAATACACACACAAACACACACACACACCACAAACACACATATATATCTGTCATATACATACCGTTTTTAAAAATGACGCAATTAAAATGACCTGATAAACGAAATGTTGTGTTCAGTTAAAGAATTGGGACCATCTTATATCGACATTAATTTGTTAAACATTGTATTTAATAATAAAATAAATTCCGTACGATTTTATAGTCTTAATGACTAATTCGATATGGATGAATAAATGAGAATTAATTGCTGCGGTCACTCAAACGATTAGCGCTCGTTTTTACTTCAAACGGATATGTTTGTTAATGAAATGAATTGTTACTGAATTCAATAGCCAGTAGATATTATGGACGTCGTTCCATATTGACAAATTATGAATTCATTAGATATATTCAGTATTCATAATCATTATTGTGTAAATTGCCACATTTGAAAAAAAACTAATTTGAATTGATTTCTCTCTTTTGATAAACGCCCGTCATTCGTTATATGGGTTTGCTCACTACCTGGCCTTAATGGACACTGTCTCGCTAACCGGATTTTTTTGGTAGCCGTGAGCAAACTATAATAATTTTCGGAAAGCTTAACTTCAAGTAGAGAATGATGCTGTAAAATAACAAATTATTAGCTACAGACCTAATAATATTTAATTTCTATAGGCCTATTGTACACACCGTACGGTATATAAATTTTGATCTATGATTATTTTTTAGCCGTCGTCAGATATTAGGCCTAAAATACAGCCAATACTTATTACAAATAAAGACACCCCCGCCGCCACCACCATCACCAGGCTACTACAAATACGAGGCCTACTAATAATACTGCTGCGGCTGTGGTGAGACTAAATTCTCTTTTCTTTGCTGATTACTGTACCCTTTCTTCGTTTCTGTAGCTATTGTATATTTTATTTTTCTTAGATCATTCAAATTATCATATTCTATTATTATTGACGTTGCTTTAATTATTGTTACTATCATTATAACAATAATATAATACATCTAAAATTAGGACATTGCAGATTAAAAGGTAATAATGCTTTATGAAAGAAATATGTATAGTAGAAAATGTATATAATGCTTCGAATGGCCACTGAAAACAACTAGACACGTACATGGCTTGAAGAGAGTGAATGTTTAATACAAACCTAACCAACCGTTACACTTAGTATACAATACATCACAAAATTTAAAACATGAGAGAATTTGAACATCATGTCAACACCGGACCAACAAACTACCGTTGAGGTAGCATGTGACCATCTAGTTGTCTAATAGACACGTGACCATAGTACACAAGTAAACAACCACTTCAAGGTTTATATCAGCCTTTCATTTAAACTAACTTTATACATGAAGTATTAGAATGACCAGGGAGCAGTCATGGAATGACGCCTCTCTGAAGCTGCCATTAGGCCTTTTGCATTCGTTAGAACACTTACAAATTTAAAATGCATGCCCAAATATTTAATCGTTTTAATAGCCTTTTCATCACTACAATAAGTGCCTGAATTTACACAAAATAATTAGACTGTTTTGAAATTGCAATTTTTCCCGGCGGCAAGAGAATCAAACTAGATACTAAGGTCATGAGTCTCTTTATCTCGGTAACAAAAGTTACAAATCAAATCAAAATGAATTTGAATTAGAAGCATACCATAAGCATCGTTGCTTATAACAAAAATGTTCATAACTGATGTTATGCATTTCTCCAAATTTTTATTAATAAAAATTGCACGTTAAATAGTATTAATAGTTTAATTTGATTTAAACGAAATTTTAAATATTTTTATTTTTTACTAATAGTTTTATAAAATACATTTACACCAACATGATCTCTATAGGAAATTAATTTAGAAATACAAAAATGTATATCATTTAGAGTATATTTAATCGTTTTGTTTTTACTACAATATTCGAAGTTTTGTTCGTTTGATATTTATTTTTTATCTTTATAATCTGCATAAAGGGTCAGCAAGAGGACTGATGTAATTAAACAAGGAGTCCGAACTATCTCAACTACTAATTCTTCTTTGGTGTTATATTTGTTCATTAATATATTTGTTCATTAATTTATATTAGGACACTTATAAATTTAACCAGTTAAAGGCTACATTAGGATAGGAGGCGCCTGCCTCTGAGACACACAACATTTGCCAGTTTGGGGTAAACATACACATATCTTCAGCTCGCGGCAAAGGTGTTTGGCTTAGAGTGACGAATTAATTATTTGTTCGTTTAGGCCTGTTTGTGTTTTTATTTCGAACGCCTAATAAACTGGATTATAGCGCTAGGTAACATATCACTTAGGTCTATTCGTTCAATTAAATAAATCTTTGAATGTAAGTAATAGGCCTATTAGTAAAATCAAACAAGAAACGTTTACTTCAATTTACACTTTTTATCGAAACCTGTCTTCACCCCTCATCTAACCAAACAAGAAGCAATTACCTGTGATCTGGTTGTTGGATATACATAGGGTCTGATTAATGACTACACATAGGGGTCGACTTAAGGTCAATGATGTCATGTTGATCATTGGAATTTGTTTATTAAGCACCAACACAATCATTTACTTTATTTTTAGCATTTAGTATTTGATCTGATGCTCAGTTACGTCATTAATATCTGACTGAACGACATTATAACACGTTTCTACACAAGTACATTATATACATATTTTCATGTAACATGAAAAAGAAAACAATTTAAAAATAAATGAAAATTCACCCGCAATAATGATAAACAGTTTACTATCTCCAATTGAGATAGGGTTAAACATTAAAAAGTTTTGTCGACTTTACGTCAAAAGCGCGCACACAGCACAATCTTATCCAATGGGCATTCATATGTAAAATAATAGACATTGCATTACATCCAATCATACACTTGAGAGCTCAGGATCTTTAATTGATTGAGGTGATAAGACGAAAGTTGTTTTATTATTGAATGCTGATTGGCACACAGTTACGGTACCTAAATACCCCATTGGGATTCTCCGATAGAACTTAGACTTATCCAGATGCAGAAAGATCAATATGAACTCAATTAATTATGAAGAGCGCTCATGGGTATTTCTCTGTGGACGCAAGTTTGTTTTATAGTCTAACTTCTTAACAATATGTCTGTAAGATGGTGGACTGATTTACGACAACAGATATGTTGTACTTAACGAGATGATGTTTTCTCTTGCGAGTAGGCACTCGTAATTGAAGTGCACCTTCGATTGCTAGTTAAGAGTATGTCTACACGAAGGCCACTTTATGCCGTTTAACATCTCATGTGGAGTACGACTGAAGTATATACAAACGTGTGCCTAGAAGCAAGCGATGTGAATATGTAGATCTCGTATCGAGTTCTTGTAGGTTTCCGGCTTTTACGAGGATCTAATATTTGACGTATTTTCTGCTGAATCGACTGATTCATCTAGCTCATCGAAATATTCCGTTTATAGAGGCAGCGTGATGTTCTAGTGCTTTTCTACGAAGAGCCGCGATACTCGTTCCACGCCACATATCAGCTTCTTGCGATGCACACGACATGTCGCCAGCAAATACGGTCGTATTCGTACCTGTGGGCGAGGAATTTGATAGACAACTGGCAGACGACACCCCAGGGAATGGTGTTTGATACATCGATTGCATTGCACTGTTGCCTCCCATGGAGAGCGATCCAGATAAGGGTGATCCTTGCCCTAAGTGTGGGGCGCAGCCGGGCTGTGATAATGACTGGCCTAACGTTTGTCGAGGCAGAGTAGGGGGTAGGGCAAGAGGTGGCGTGTTACCCATCTGCGACGTCATTGATGACATCACCGGCCATCGAGCGTCCGTCGAGTGGAAGTTGCAGAATGAATCTGACATCGGTGAAGGGAACTGTGGCAGTCCATGCGATGGCATCAAACCTCCAGCTGTTCGGAATACATTGGTTGTCTTCTTTCGTTTCTTCCATTTAGCACGTCTGTTCTGAAACCATACCTGAATAAATAAAGATATAATAATAATAATATATATTAATGCTTGCAGTACACCACGTAGATAGTACTGAAAAGAACTGTTGTTGTTGGTTGAGAATCTCGTCGTTTAGATTTAGTTGCTTCTATAGTCTTTAGGAGAATAATATTGCCATGCAAACCTTCAAACAATATAATAGTAAATAATACTAATAGTAATAATAATAATAATAATAATAATAATTAAATAGTAAAAAAATGTAATTCGAATACGTTAGCAAAGATTTCGTAATAATTAAGAGTCGGTACTGTTATCACATCATTGACAGCTATAATAGCAGCAATATGACTAATAATAATAATATATTATATACTGTACTTTTATTAATAATATAAATCGTTAAACATACTGATACAAGTAATAATAATAACAATAATAATATTGATAATGATAATAACAATACAGTAATGATAATTGATATTGCCATTAAACCTTTAGATTTACAAAGTCGTTGAATTTATGTAGCCGATGAACTTTGACTGATACTACACACGTAGTATGCGAGATTATATATGTCTCGTTAAATACCAATAAATACAATCTTGTCTCAACTGAATAATGAGAATCAGAAAATTTATATTCTGCTGGTTATGGTACAAGTCGTCTTTATTTCATCGTGTTCCTTGCGCACTACCGAATGATAAGATCGTTGCATCAAATGATACTTTGAACACTTAGGCCTATACACGTAGCAACTTTACTAAACCGCCACGACACCACGATTGTTAATCTATTGTAGCAGCAATTATGTATAAGTATCGTTAATTAACTTAACGAAACAAATAATGTTGTTAGTTGTGATAAATGAAAGAAAAATTATTTCGATATAGTTTAAGTTGATAATTTATTATGAAATCTTTCTTTATTAAAACTTTTAAAAATTATGGTACACCGATTGCATCCTATTGTAAGCCTATTTCATAAATTAGATGGTATTAACATTGCAATATTAGTATTTAGACATTAAAAATATCCTGTTCAATCAATAAAAAACATTTAGCTTAGTAGACCTATTAAATCGTATATTATCCATATCCACATAAAATTATATTAGTTTTACTTCTGATTTGTAATACAGACACTTCAACAATAGTTTCTTATATACACAATTTTTTTTAAAATTCAGTAGAGTATTTAATTTTCTTAGTATTTTTATAACAGGAACCGCATCGAAATGTATAAAGAAAGCTGCTAGAAAGATAGTATTAACATTTGATGTCATTCTTGTTCCCGTAATGTTATTTGTATAATTATTTGCTAACATTTTAATGTAATGTGTATTTCTGAAATTAGATTATAATCTGCAAAATTATTTGATATGAAGTATTTTAATTGTAATTTTATTTTATGTATTTGAATATTGCATAATTATACCAAGATATATACAGTTTATCCAATGTAATACGAAACTAGAAGCGACTACAAAAATGCTGATAAGAATAGATAAAATTAAGACAACTTTAAAAATAAGTAATGATCGAAAATATACATTAAATAAAGATTTAACTGTATCGATCCATCGCATGATGAATCAAATCAGTGAAATCGTGTTGGCGCGTAACTCGGATAGTCTGCAGTAACCTGTGATAGTCTGCGCCTGTCTTTAGCAACGGATGAGAGAATAAACCCGCCTGGCTTAATCATAACAGACGACGTATCTTATCTTAATGTGGCGCATAATGACATCTCGTAACTCTTTCGGCCTTTCATCTTGTTGTCATTTCCTACGTCTTCCAAGTCCATAACAATTCAAAGTTTAACGAGGCTTTCTATCTTACAGGAATGAGATGCGATTCGCGTTTAACGGAGGTTAATATTTGCGGTGAATTATTCTTCACGGGATGATTAATATTCGTGGGAGTTTAAGATCAATATCATCATTATATTTTACCGTGAAAATAAAATTTCAACGAATTGACTTTGTGTTGATGAAATCAGAGGTTATATTACACCGCAAATATTTTTCATTCGAATGCGACGTCGTTGATGTGTTCTCAGAGTCGGTTTTCGAATGTAACGACGTGATCCGAATATTAGAATCTGATACTGATAAGATGTATACTTATTTTGAAGAAAAAAATCATTGTTCAAAATGATTGCCCAAGGGGCATGTTCGCTGTCTTTACCTCGCTATCAATCCCTACAGTAGTAGGTATTAAATAAGTGAATAAATTTGACGCAATTATGTAGACCTGTCATCAGAGGCAATCGACTGTGAAAAGGGAAATAAAAAATGTGTACATTTCTATCTTCATGATAAACGTTGGCTTTGAAATCATTATTTTGCATTGATCCATATTAGGCCTATTTTTGTACCAGTAATCTTCTGCGACACGGTGTTTCCCGGGCGTTAGTGTGCGTTCTGTACTTGTGCTGCGGACATTATTGCGTTAGTAAGTTCCCTAGCGCTTTGCGAGTAGTAGATACATCACTGTCAAAAATCATGAAATTCTAGCCGCGTTGATAAAATACTTGCTAATGCTCTAACCAGAAAAATAATACCGCGGGGTATTCTTTGGCGATTCAATCTCGGCCCAACGTCTTAACTTAATGTCCTCGGCATTAATGGAGAAGACGGTGCGGATGAATTTGATGAAGTTGAATTTTGTAAAACCGACGATTGTGATTCGACAAACGACAGTGCGATAATCACCGCCAAACATCTCGGAATTCATTTGCAACTTGCGCAAACAAAATGAGGGGGTTAATCATGTAGTAGACCTAGATTACAGATGTGTCTAAAAGAATACAGACTAAAAAAAAACTCCTAAAGTGAAAAGACAAATTACCAGAAAAGTGTTGTAAAAGAAATGCTAGGACACTTATGAAAAAGGACATCGAATATGTAATCAATTGGCTTTTAAGTGAACGCTTGTTGCCCTTAAATACAGTAAATCACAATCACGTAGCTATTATATATCAGATAGGCCGTAGATAATTTTAACACATTTATATCAAATATCTCGCTTTGGAGACTGCTGAAATTGATACCGTAAATACTATTTTAAGTTAAACACGCATTAGGTCTATATAATAATGAGGAATAATTAATTTATGAGGCGTAATCAATTTAGGAAAAACTACAACAATTCTGAAATTTTTAAGAAAGGTTATGTCTGTTGATGTGTTTCTAAGGTCCTGCTTTGTGACCGTACTGGTCTGTGTAAAGTCATGTATAATACAGCCAAACTTCAGTAGCAGTAGTAGTAGTAGTAGTAGTAGTAGTAGTAGTTTTTATTGTTGTTGTTGTTGTTGTTAGTAGTAGTAGTTAGAGGAGTAGAAGTGGAGCATTGATAAAAGTATAATAGTACAGGCCACTGTGCCAATAATGTTGCTAAGAGCTGCTGTCGTTAATAAGATTAACCAGAGCAGCCTATGGGAGAATAACTGTAATAATCACCAAATGAATAACACGCATACATACATAACAGGATAACAGTTTTAATTCAGTCTAGCAAATAAACTGTTCTATCGATATAGGTTAACTTTCTAGTAAATATGGTCAGCTAAATCTATTATGATTTCATATTCATTGTGCTATTTAGCATTTGTAAATATTTTTGTGTGTGTATGTATTTGGGTATGAATTCTAAATCTGAGAGAATGAAAAATGATATTAGCCTGGACTACAACAACCCAGGCCTCCTGATATGCAGGCTTCTAAAATCAACTGGACCACTGAAACATTAAAAAAGGGAAATATACTCTTTGAGCATCTATATCGGTGAATATAATAATAATATGACAAGATCGGCAAACTAGCTTCAAGTCATCATCCTGATCTCTTCTCTCTGATGAAACCAAGTTATCCAATAATCACCAAGTCATACAACTAAGATCCTATCGAATGAAACCAACAAACGCAGACGACTCAAACAGAATCATTATACTATGGCCATTCCATACAGATTGAGCCACTTTCGCAAGTTAAACCTTTTGTCGATAAGAGGTCACCACATAATTATACAGATTTTTTTCGTCTTTACGGCTTTCATTTCAGTCGGATTATGAAGGTATTTGCTTGTTTTTTAGTGTTTTATGCCTAGCATTTTACCACCGTTCTTTAATTGCCTTCCTTGCACAAATATCTCAACAAATGCCGGTAAATCAAAGAAGCTCATTACACGAAAAGCATTCAAATTAGAGATATTACAAAACTGACGTCCCTTCACAAGATTATTTCAAGTCTCAACAACATAATGTTTAAAATCAAACAAGAATTATGATATGGATTATTTTAGAGAAGATTAACTATAAGCTTTGCACACATATTAACAATTAATGTATATATATTTAGAATAATACTATACATTTGCTTGTGTAAATAATGCATGATGATGTAATGCGGTAATTTTGGATAACTTTGAAAATATTATCAAACAATTAAATAAACATAATTATTTCTAATTACAATTGATTAACTTTGACCTAATGTCTTCAGTTACAGACGCATCGTTGATATAAATGTGTATGTGTCACTTTACAGGCAACATTATAGTTATAGTCATAGTTATAGATATTACAAAATTGTCACTGAGGATGATGGACAGTGTTTTCCGAAATCTCTTGTTCAATTTCTGACTTATCCTACATTTGGTTAATTTT